GAAGGTTTGTGCTTAAAATTTGAATAAATAAGTTAAAAAAATAAGTTCGGTTTCTTTTGGGTACCCCCTCGTATGCCATTTGTGTCTGAGACTGACATTAAGGGAACAGAGAAAGTACTAAATCATACAGCGAAGGGTAATATCTTCTGGGACGTGATACCGTACAGTCATATCCAAGAAGGCAGTACTCTTAATAGTCTCTGCTATGAGAATCTCAGATCCAGTACGAATATTTTTTTATTGCTAGTGGGGTGGTACTAAGTCCCTTGTACTGCGACCACTTCTGGCCTATTGTACCAGCCCCAGATGATAGGTGAGGGTGATTGTAGAACAATTGGTGGAATGAAGATTGGCAGGGGAAACCGAAGTACTCGGAGAAAACCTGCCCCAGCGCCACTTTGTCCACCACAAATCCCACTTGACCAGACGCGGGATCGAACCCGGGCCGCCGCGGTGGGAAGCCAGCGACTAACCGCTTGACCTAAGGCGCCAGTATGAATCATATTTCAATTAGACTTAACAGGTAAAGAACATCCGTGGGGGTTGTCATAAAATGCATTAAGAACGTAATGAAAGTACTCGTGTTGAAAGGCAAATCCTAGGGGTAAAAGTGATCGACAAACAAAATTTTTAGTTTCTATATTTAGAAACATTACTCAATATAGGTATTATTATCTTGGGTTTGTGATTACCTCGGTATAAACAAGGTGAGACGAGCTTTTCAGTAATATGCTCGTAAGCGAAAAAATACATTATTTACTGAATAATTCAAGCAATTAATATATACGCACCGAAGAAAATATAATAAATGACTATATATATGTTTTGGTGCACCTGACAAACACAACAATCAATAAAAATAACTCACTTTCATTTACTCGTGTCAACACACAAAATGATGCATTCCTTGAAGAATATTATAAATGGAATTGCCACTTCGCTTAGAAATGCAGTTCTTATAGTTCTAGGAAAACATGCTTCATAAGCATGTTATCCCCAAAGGAGTTTTTGTTTTTATCTCCAAAAGTGATGGATGGGATACATGTAACAACTCTACCGTCGAATAGCTAACGAAGGACTTCGGATATGAAATATATAGTGGCACCAAGGGAGTTATAACTGCCTTTAGGGGGAGAGGGAACATTTTATGGCTGAAATATTAGGATACCCTTCACGTGTTTACAAGGAATTTTTCCTTGAAGACCCATTTTGCACTACTCGAATTCAGCGATGTAGAAAGTGAGAAAAACAAGTACGAGTAGTTGGCTGTCTTGTACTAACTTTTTTTTAAATCGCTTAGTGGGGGGTGGAGTCCAACTGGGTCCACTCGGCACGGCGGCCACTGATTGGCCTATTGTAGCCTGCCCCGGTTGATTATGATGATGGAGAATTTGGTGGAATGAATATTGGCAGGGGAAACCGAAGTACTCGTAGAAAACCCGCCCAAGCGCCACTTTGTCCACCACAAATCCCACTTGATCAGACGCGGGATCGAACCTGGGCCGCCGCGGTGGGAAGCTAGCGACTAACCGCTTGAGCTATGGTGCGGCCTTTCTTAAAATATTACTGGTGCTTCTCATTTTTAACCTTGAGTTTCTTATTTCTGGACAAACGAGTGGACTGTGCACACAAGGTAGCAGGACTGTACGAATTCTTGTAACGCAGCTCTCGGTTATGTTCTAAATATTCAATTCGTTGAACAGTCCTATTAGAAATAGCCATTAACAATGACTCACTCGCTCACTCTTGGAACTGAGCCTTTCTTGAGAAGCTGCCAACTGTGCAGCCACTCAAGAACTTTCCAGAAATTTATGGAAACCGAAGGTTCATTACCGTGTTCACAAGAGCCCCCACTGGTCCCTATCCTGAGACAATCAATCCAATCTATACCATCCCATCCTATTTCTTTAAGATCCATTTTAATATTGTCCACTCACCTACGTCTTGGTCTTCCCTGTGGTCTCTTTCCTTCTGGCTTTCCCACCAATATCCTATATGCATTCCTCCTCTCCCCCATTCATGCTACATCCTCTGCCCATCTCATCCTCCTTTACTAGCCATTAACAATATCTGGTTAAAATTAAGAGGCAATATTAAATCATGTATTCATTTTCATTTTATTGGGCTCTAAAATAAGAAAACCTTCGGGTAATTACCGTGTGTATCTAAAATTCTGAACAATGGGTTCCGTCATTCTCAAGGCCGGACAATTTAAAGGGAACTTTTCACGGCATGTCAATGAACGTTAATGTATATCAGAATAATATAAACCATTTTGTATATAAACATAGGTGTAAGGTGTGTGCTGCTCAGTATACATCATGTTCATGGCTGTATAAAATTACTCACATTGTTCATGCTGGCGTTGTAGCAAATGAGGGAAGGTGTGAGCGACATAAAGCAATGCACTACCGCCGTTTCATCAGTTCCATCAATGCACTGACTTCTTCTGTTGGATCTTACGAATGCTTATATAGTACACTTACGCGTTTTCTTGATGATGGAGCAGAAACCATTTCCGAGAAGTGCGTGGCAGTTGGAGGAAGATCCCGACGACGCCAAGGCAGAAGGCCGATTCCGCTACCGCTACCACATGCTTCCCGAAGCCCCTACGAAATGAGAGGAGTAAGAGCACAATTAAACATGGTCCCAATTGTTATTACTTCTCCACTTCTCAAACACGAAAGCTTTATATATATATGTGTGTGTGATTGAAGAGAGAACAGTTGCGATGCATAAACTACCAAGTGACCAAATTTCGGGTTGCTTTGCCCTAACAAATTAGCAGAAATTGCCACATTAAAAGGGGTCACTTGACTACGTAATATCTGAAAACACAGACTGAACGTGTAAATCAACTCTGAAATGATGATGCTGGAGTGCCATTCACGCGTATTTATATATTTCAGGGCAAAACTTCGTCTCCGCATCGACACGTGCGCTAAGTGACCAAAGAAATAGTGCAAATGTGGTGATATTTTACCTCCCTTCCAATATGAATGTCCATTTTACATGAACGACGAGTATGAACGGTTCTGAATACGAAGAGACCAACTGCGCTTGCGCTGGTCTCAAATGTGAGCAAAGGTCGTTAATATCCCTAAAATATGAATACATAACCCATTACGGCCTCTAATTTAAATAATTTCAAATTTCGTTCGTGTTATTAAAAGTTACGTGTATTATACCAGCTATTCCTCACAGAATATCTGCGACGACGGTGTAATCAATACTGGTTTCCACAGCAACGATTTTTTACCTCTATAAAAGGTGAATGCTGCGTTGTTGAGAGGGATTGTGGGTACTGTAGCAGTATGGCCTCCATTAGTGGGCTTAGGTTTTGTGTTTAGAAGGAACGTGCTGGTCTCTCTTCGGCGTTCCAGCGTTCCAGATAAGAGAACAGCAATCCCAAACGGCGCGATGTCTCGTGGAAATTTTATTAGGTGACACTAAAACGACGCGTGTAAGCAACCCACCGTTACCCCACCAAAATTCGAATCCGGTCTTTATAAGAACGTAAAGCCGTGATTTTTTTTCTGAAATGTCAAACAATGCGTTTGTTGTTAAGCAGCAGCATAGTCAATCTCTGCTGGCTGGCGGTACAAGCATCCGGGTCTCCGATGAAGGGTCTTTTACATACGAACGTGTAGATGACGATCATCAAATGTATAAACATTATGAAGGAACCGCGAAGAAACGTTCAAACGATAATGAAAGTCCGAAGAAAAGGAAAAATCTCCTGCATTTCCGTGATATGCCACCTCATCTACAGTTTAATCCATATATCTTCACAGGATACCGACCCTTACTGACCTTCTGGGGAAGCATCAACAGCCTCTTTTATCTTCACAACGAAACCATCAACATCTTAACACACGGTAAATAGTATGTCAGTCACTGAAATTAGTTAGTACGCCTAGTGAATTAAGTATGTTATTAGCTTGATCGTGATTAATCTTCTCATGTTCTCGAAGCCAGGAGAACATTGTAAAAGAATTTTGATATATTAATGTAATATTTCTGAATTTCTGTTCATATGTGTAGCTGCAATTGATTGACCGAAATATTGATGTCTTTTCATTGTTTTTGCAAACATATAGATACAAACATGAGAAGGCAAAAAGTTGGAAAATTACAGCGTACTGTAATTGGTCACCGTTTGTTATGGAACTACTTTATTTTGCAGTGAAACTGTCATTAAAATTTTTTAAAAATATGCGTGTGGTCATAATTATGTTTATACATAACAACGAAATTTAGCTGCGCGTTTGTCAGTTTCATCAAGCGTGTTGCGTGTTACACAGGTGGCATAAGTGGCAGGCAATTGGATGAGAAGCCATATAGTCTGCTACACCGCACACGTACAGATCGTCGTGCTGAATGAGATACTGGCCAGCCGCACATAATCAATATTTTTAATAGACATAGAAGGAGTACCGTGCTTTAATATTCAACATATATTACGGAAACAAAATATTTCTTACACCCAGGTGCAAGTATCTAGCCGGTTGGCCATCAGATACGTAACGAGTGTAAGTTAATTCCAAAAGTTCACTGCATTCTAACAGAAATGAGACTCTCTACATGTTTCGACAATTGCTGATTATTTATATGAATACTCTTTTGAATATTTTTTATTATCTAAGGCATATTTGAATACGAGTCTTTTCGGAAATATAGCCAGCTTCCGAAATATCGTATATACCAATTATACGTCAGGCAATGACAATGCTGGATAAAGTATTCATATAACAGAGAGGTACATTACATCTGAATTTGTATTCAATACAACTAGATGTGGGTTTATTTAAGAACAAGCAATCTGCATTTAACATGATAGATTTACACACATCACTGTTTTAGTCATTATATTAACTAATAAATGTCTCTGATATTCCGTCTTACATGCAACACTTTTTAAACTTTTGTTTAAAATTTACTTTAAACAAACTTTTGAAAAGTGTTGCATATAAGACGGAACATCAGAGACATTTTTTAATTAATCAATAATGTGGAACAGGATGTTATAATATAATATAATATTAGTTACTATATATTTCGATTGTAAGGACACAATTTTTACCTTTTATTTGTCTGTGCCTGCTTTGAAATCCTTCAGTTTATTAGGGTATAACTGGAACACTACCTTCAAATTCTATCATTTTCTCTCCAGAATATTGTTATCAAAACCCAAGCCCTTCTCCGTCCCTTGCTTCGAACAAAGAAAAATTTCTTGCCTGTAGCCTGTGAAATATGTACAATCTCAATACACATCTGCATATAAATGCATTAATCATTTTTAGCACTAACCGAACAAGGAAGCTGAAGTTTTTATACAGTCATTGTTTTACGAACGTCATATAAACGAGGCTGAAGTTAAGGATTCACATAATTATAATACTAGCATCAATGCATGAAGAGTTCCATAAGTACTGGTAGGCATCAACTATTCAACCTATTCAAAATAGGTGTACTTATACGTACCGTAACCTGTATATTTATGAGGAGTTTAATAATAACAACAAGGATAAGCTGGGCGGTGCATGAGGTGAATATGAGGCAAATATGTACAAGATTCTGGTCGGAATACCTCTGGGGCAGGGATCACTTGGAAGTCTTAGGTGTAACTGGGACGGCAATATTAAAATTAATTTGAAATAAATAGGGTGTGAAGGGGTGAGGGGGCACGCGGTAGCGTAGTTGGTTGAGGCACTATGCTACAAGTCGAAAGGTCGCGGTTTCGATTCCAGAGGAGTCATTGGATTTTCAATCGACCTAATTCTTTCAGGCGCATTATGGCCCTGAGGTCGACTCCGCCTCTAACAGAAATAAGAAACAGGAATTAATTAAATAATTTTCCTCGGGAGTAAAGCGCGGCCGGCCCGTGAGGCTGACAACCTTACCGGCACCTCTGAGCCGATTGTCTAGATAATGTGGGACCCTCAACGTCTCACAACCTTATGGGCCTTCACGGCCTGGTGCAGGGATAGCTTTACTTTACTTACTGACGTATTCGGCCGCCCATAGCTCAAGGGGTTAGTCGCTGGCTTCCCACCGCGGCGGCCCGGGTTCGATCCCGGGTCTGCTCAAGTGGGATTTGTGGTGGACAAAGTGGCGCTGGGGCAGGTTTTCTCGGAGTACTTCGGTTTCCCCTGCCAACTTCATTCCACCAATTGCTCCACAATCACCCTCACCTATCATCTGGGGCTCGTACAATAGGCCAGAAGTGGCCGCAGTACAAGGGAAGTCTGAAGCTTCTAGGTCCAAGAAATCCCTGATGTAACCAAAACCATAAAATAAAACTCAACACAGAACCCGCTATCAATGGCGATATGGTGATTTTCGTCCCACAGGTCCGCAGGCCATCCGTGTTGGCACTGCTGATAGGGAGTTAACAGGTACCCTGATGGATTGTCCTGCAATGGAATGCAGTAAATACCGAGTTCTACGAAAATTTGACATTACACAGGGGGCGGAAATGCAGACTGTTAGTGAAATTTAAAAGAAGCCAATAAAGGATTGGAATGGACTTTCTCTATTCTTGCCCTCTGATGTGAAATGTAAGTCTACAGACCCATTATTTTTGCAGTAATTACCATTGCAATCACTATCCAGTTTTATTGGTCGCTATTGAATAGCTATTAATTAACAGAACAGTAATTCTCAAAATTTCTTTGAAGGCACTGTAATTTCTTGTCGAAACTGCGACATTATTAATCTACAATACTAAACTAAACTGAAGTGTTACATAATTACATTAGGAGTTTCTAAACAATAGTACCAAGAAACCTAAGAATTTTTTGAAATAGAATAGGTAGAAATAAATGTTCTGTAATTAATTAAGACAAATATTTGCGCTATCAACACTACAATAAAATAACTACTGAAATATTCTTTATAAGGTGGAAACGGAGGTAGTTTGAAGCCCTTGATAAGTGATAAACATGGTAATAAAGTTACGTCATAATCCAGTACTTCTTACGGGAAGCATTACATCCTTAGACGGGCAGATAAAGTGGATAAAACTGCGCCATTAATTTTCAATGGCGCAGTTATTATCCGCCTAAGTAGTTACTGCATCGCTACATGAGTCCTTTTCCCTTTGGAAGTCCTTCACAGATTTGGCAAAATAAACTGTAAAATATACTGAAACAAGTATTCATAACAGATATCATGAAAAATAAATAGGATTATTCAAGTACGCTGTACAATGACTCCTGGAATACGTTTTATGCTAGGCATCATTAATGATGCATATGTTCTCTGTGTTATAATCAAAATATGTTCAGCTACTTGCTAGAATAATTTTATTTATGATTTCATAAATATTTGTTTATAACATACGATCATATAAATATCAAGCCTAAATAAACCATGTTGAGCAGTTCAAGGGCTAAAATAGCGCAAAGAAAATGAACACAATGATAGACTTCACTGAAACACGAAGATGACAAAATGCACGTAGCAATTAAATATGGAGTCATTTTGTGCGCGACCACGGTGCTTTCTCTAGGCCAGTTGTATCGACTCTAAAATATTTAGTCCTGTAAAAGTAAGACTATGAGGACACTTTCTTGCCATTTGTATTTAATGAAAAATTATCCACGTTGAAAATTATTCAGATCTGACGAAGGAAGTCAGTAAAATACGAGTAAAAAACTTCTGCTGTTTTACAGTATCATCCTACCATATAACCAGTTCGACTTTCGGACAGATTTTATATGCCTACTCCCTCACTCATGGAGGTGAGCCCTACTTGAGAAGCCTCCTATTATGCAGCTACTCAAGAACTTCCCAGCATTTTAATGAACCCAAAAGTTCATTACTGGAGAAGTTCATGGAGGTAGGCCTAGGCCTACTGGGGCTGTAGTGCCAAGGGAAAAAAGGTTCATTACTGTGTTTACAAGAACCCTCCACCGGTCCTTAACCTGAGCCAGATCAATCCAATCCTTCCTGTCTAAGATCCATTTCAATATTGTCCATCTACCTACGTCTTGGTCTTCTCATTGGTCTCTTGCCTTCTGGCTTTCCCACCAATATCCTACATACATTCCTTTTAGCCCCATTTATGCTACATGCCATGCTCATCTCATCTTTCTTAACTTGATCTTTCTACTTATACTTGGAGAAGAGTACAAGTTATGAAGCTCCTCGTTATGCAGTTTTCTCCAACCTCCTGTCACTTCATTTCTCTTCAGTCCAAACATCCTTCCCAACACCCTGTTCTCAAATACCCTCAGTCTATGTTTCTCTCTTAATGTCAGAGACCAAGTTTCACACCAATATAGAACCACAGGCAAAATTATAGTTTTGTATAGTCTAATTTTTGTGTTTTTAGACAGCAGACGAGAAGAATGGACTCAATGGCCCGAGTGCAATATCCTCTTATTTTCCTTTTGAATCAGGTTTTGATTTGTTATAATCGTTCCCAAATATCTGAACTGTGCCATATTTTCAAAACTTCTGGTACCTACGTTTATGTCATGATTTTGCCCTGCATTTTGGTGACGACACAACAATATAGTATATACTCAGTTTTATATTCCTACACCGCCATGTTTTGTAATCTGCCCCTCCAAATGAACACTTGAAAACTGATCAAATTTCCACATTTCACCTGACTCACAGTTCATTATCACTGTCTCTCGTTCGACGTTCTGTAGTCCGGTATGAGCTGGGATAGCCCAGTCAACGGGCCACGGCTTGGACGGCTGGGGTTCGATTCCCGGTTGGATAAAGTGATTTTTCTCCTTTTAATAGCGTCCAGATGGGCTCTGGGACCCACCCAGCTTTCTAACCAGTGAATACCGGGGGGTCTTCCCCCGAGGGTGAAGCTGACCATTCATCTTCATCCAGTGTGAAGGTCAAGACTGGGGAA